AGCCATGCCCTTCCCACTCGTGTGTTCCCTTCCCCAGGTCATGCCCCTCCCACTCATGTGTTCCCTAACCCTTACCCAGGTCATGCCCCTCCCACTCGTGTGTTCCATTCCCCTTCCCCAGGCCATGCCCCTCCCCCTCGTGTGTTCCCCCTTACCCCAGGCCATTACCCAGGCCATGACCCTCCCACTGTGATCATGTGATTGCCCCTCACTTACCCTTACCCAGGCCATGCTTCTCCCCCTCGTGTGTCCCCTTACCCTTACCCAGGCCATGACCCTCCCACTCATGTGATCACTTACCCTTACCTAGGCCATGCCCCTCCCACTCATGTGATCACTTACCCTTACCTAGGCCATGCCCCTCCCACTCATGTGATCACTTACCCTTACCTAGGCCATGCCCCTCCCACTCATGTGATCACTTACCCTTACCTAGGCCATGCCCCTCCCCACTCATGTGATCACTTACCCTTACCTAGGCCATGCCCCTCCCACTCATATGATCACTTACCCTTAACTAGGCCCATGCCCCTCCCACTCATATGATCACTTTCCCTTGCCTGGCCCATGCCCCTCCCACTCATGTGATCACTTACCCTTACCTAGGCCATGCCCCTTCCTGCACCCAGGCCATTCTAGTCCTAGTTCGCCCTTGAAGAGGGTTCCTCCTAGCTGTGAACACCTCAGGAAGATGATTTTGGACTGGTTGCTATGGGTTACTGCACTTTGTTCCAGCTTGTTCAGTAAGCCTGATAGTGTACCCCCCAATTGTATCTGGACCCCCCAATTTCTGAACAACGGCAGCCCATATTACGGTTCTGACATGCGGGTGAAGTTCTGCCTGGTGGATCATCATTACAAAGTGTTCAATCCTTTCCTCCTGCCCCTCCGACATACAGCTCAGTACATTGTACTCCACGCCTGTTGCCAGCGGCGTCAGCCATGTTGTGGGAGGAGCCCATATTCTACTACACAGCACCCCTGCGCTCACCAACCTATCACAATGGAGCAATACAGAGGCAACGTAACCCAATGAATACAAGAATGTGAGAGCCCAGATGGGCCGGGATACCTGCGATGTCACCCACTGCGTTCAGGGAAACTGCCAGATCTCCTAGTACTGTCACACCGCGCATGCGCGAGATGAAGCGTAATACCGCGCCTGTGCGAGATGAAGCGTAATACCGCGCGTATACGAGACGAAGCGGAATACCGCGCCTGTGTGAGACGAAGCGTAATACCGCGCGCGTGTGCGAGACGAAGCGTAATACCGCGTGTGTGCGAGACGAAGCGTAATACCGCGTGTGTGCGAGATGAAGCGTAATACCGCGTGTGCGCGAGACGAAGCGTAATACCGCGCCTGTGCGAGATGAAGCGTAATACCGCGTTGTGTGCGAGACGAAGCGTAATACCGTGCCTGTGCGAGACGAATTGTAATACCGTGCCTGTGCGAGACGAAGCGCAATGCCGCGCCTGTGCGAGACGAAGCGTAATACCGTGCCTGTGCGAGACGAAGCATAATACCGTGCCTGTGCGAGACGAAGCGTAATACCGCGCGTGTGTGCGAGACGAAGCGTAATACCGCACATGTGTGAGATGAAGCGCAATATCATCCAATCAAATCTACTGATGAAGTCACATGATGAAGCATATAGCTGGACGTGGATTCCAGAAGACTGTCCATGACCTTGTTCCCATCCCCCCTACACGTAGGGACCCCCGCACTCACCATCCCCCCTACACGTGGGGACCCCCGCACTCACCATCCCCCCTACACGTGGGGACCCCCCCGCACTCACCATCCCCCCTACACGTGGGGGACCCCCGCACTCACCATCCCCCCTACACGTAGGGACCCCCGCACTCACCATCCCCCCTACACGTAGGGACCCCCGCACTCATCATCCCCCCTACACGTAGGGACCCCCGCACTCACCATCCCCCCTACATCTAGGGACCCCCCCGCACTCACATCCCCCCTACATCTAGGGACCCCCGCACTCACCATCCCCCCTACACGTAGGGACCCCCGCACTCACCATCCCCCCTACACGTAGGGACCCCCGCACTCACCATCCCCCCTACACGTAGGGACCCCCGCACTCACCATCCCCCCTACACGTAGGGACCCCCGCACTCACCATCCCCCCTACACGTAGGGACCCCCCCCTCACTCATCATCCCCCCTACACGTAGGGACCCCCGCACTCATCATCCCCCCTACACGTAGGGACCCCCGCACTCATCATCCCCCCTACACGTAGGGACCCCCGCACTCATCATCCCCCCTACACGTAGGGACCCCCCGCACTCACCATCCCCCCTACACGTAGGGACCCCCGCACTCACCATCCCCCCTACATCTAGGGACCCCCGCACTCATCATCCCCCCTACATCTAGGGACCCCCCACGCACTCATCATCCCCCCTACATCGTAGGGACCCCCGCACTCATCATCCCCCCTACACGTAGGGACCCCCGCACTCATCATCCCCCCTACACGTAGGGACCCCCGCACTCATCATCCCCCCTACACGTAGGGACCCCCGCACTCATCATCCCCCCTACACGTAGGGACCCCCGCACATCATCATCCCCCCTACACGTAGGGACCCCCGCACTCATCATCCCCCCTACACGTAGGGACCCCCGCACTCATCATCCCCCCTACACGTAGGGACCCCCCCGCACTCATCATCCCCCCTACACGTAGGGACCCCCGCACTCACCATCCCCCCTACATCACCATCCCCCCTACACGTAGGGACCCCCGCACTCATCATCCCCCCTACAACACAAGGCGGGTGTGCGCCCACTTACCGGAGAGCGGGTCTGTGGCTGGGTCGTCATTGTCTGGGGTGGCTGCGGATACACCAGTGTGGGCGCCGTGGCATTCTGTCCTGTGGCATAAGAGGCCTGAAGAAGAAACTTCACGTTAGAAGTCAGGAGGAAGATTAGAGAAGTGACCCCATGTAACTAATCAATTATCAATAATAATCAATAAATATCAAATAATAATAATAAATATCAAATAATAATCAATAATAAATATCAAATAATAATCAATAAATATATCATAATAATCAATAATAAATATCAAATAATAATCAATAATAAATATCAAATAATAATAAATAATAAATATCAAATAATAATCAATAAATATCAAATAATAATCAATAATAAATATCAAATAATAATCAATAATAAATATCAAATAATAATCAATAAATATCAAATAATAATCAATAATAAATATCAATAATAATCAATAAATATCAAATAATCAATAATAAATATCAAATAATAATCAATAAATATCAAATAATAATCAATAATAAATATCAAATAATAATCAATAATAAATATCAATAATAATCAATAAATATCAATAATAATCAATAAATATCAAAATAATAATCAATAATAAATATCAAATAATAATCAATAATAAATATCAATAATAATCAATAAATAATCAATAATAAATATCAAATAATAATCAATAATAAATATCAAATAATAATCAATAAATATCAATAAATAATCAATAATAATCAATAATAAATATCTATAATAATCAATAAATATCTATAATAATAAATATCAATAATCAATAATAAATATCAATAATCAATAATAAATATCAAATAATAATCAATAATAAATATCAACAAAATATCAATAAATAATAAATATCAATAAATCAGATGAATAATCAGTAAAAATCCCAACCCCCATCTGACTGTATGTATGGACTCTGCACAGTCCCACTTCTCCTGTCCCGGATGCCGGGTGTCATTCTCGGTATCTGTCCCTATTCTGTATTTATGGACTCTGCACAGTCCCACTTCTATCTGGATGCCGGTGTCATTCTCGGTATCTGTCCTCCTATTCTGTATGTATGGACTCTGCACAGTCCCACTTCCCCTGTCCCGGATGCCGGGTGTCATTCTCAGTATCTGTCCCTATTCTGTATGTATGGACTCTGCACAGTCCCACTTCTCCTGTCCCGGATGCCGGGTGTCATTCTCAGTATCTGTCCCTATTCTGTATGTATGGACTCTGCACAGTCCCACTTCTCCTGTCCCGGATGCCGGGTGTCATTCTCAGTATCTGTCCTATTTCTGTATGTATGGACTCTGCACAGTCCCACTTCTCCCCTGGATGCCGGGTGTCATTCTCGGTATCTGTCCCCGTTCTGTATGTATGGACTATGCACAGTCCCACTTCTCCTGTCCCGGATGCCGGGTGTCATTCTCGGTATCTCCTCCTATTCTGTATGTATGGACTCTGCACAGTCCCACTTCTCCTGTCCCGGATGTCGGGTGTCATTCTCAGTATCTCCTCCTATTCTGTATGTATGGACTCTGCACAGTCCCACTTCTCCTGTCCCGGATGCCGGGTGTCATTCTCGGTATCTGTCCCTATTCTGTATGTATGGACTCTGCACAGTCCCACTTCTCCCTGTCCCGGATGCCGGGTGTCATTCTCAGTATCTGTCCCTATTCTGTATGTATGGACTCTGCACAGTCCCACTTCTCCTGTCCCGGATGCCGGGTGTCATTCTCGGTATCTGTCCCTATTCTGTATTTATGGACTCTGCACAGTCCCACTTCTCCTGTCCCGGATGCCGGGTTTCATTCTCGGTATCTGTCCCCATTCTGGATGTATGGACTCTGCACAGTCCCACTTCTCCTGTCCCGGATGCCGGGTGTCATTCTCGGTATCTGTCCCTATTCTGTATTTATGGACTCTGCACAGTCCCACTTCTCCTGTCCCGGATGCCGGGTGTCATTCTCGGTATCTGTCCCGTTCTGTATGTATGGACTATGCACAGTCCCACTTCTCCTGTCCCGGATGCCGGGTGTCATTCTCGGTATCTCCTCCTATTCTGTATGTATGGACTCTGCGCAGTCCCACTTCTCCTGTCCCGGATGTCGGGTGTCATTCTCAGTATCTCCTCCTATTCTGTATGTATGGACTCTGCACACAGTCCCACTTCTCCTGTCCCGGATGCCGGGTGTCATTCTCGGTATCTGTCCCTATTCTGTATGTATGGACTCTGCACAGTCCCACTTCTCCTGTCCCGGATGCCGGGTGTCATTCTCAGTATCTGTCCCTATTCTGTATGTATGGACTCTGCACAGTCCCACTTCTCCTGTTCTCCTGTCCCGGATGCCGGGTGTCATTCTCGGTATCTGTCCCCATTCTGTATGTATGGACTCTGCGCAGTCCCACTTCTCCTGTCCCGGATGCCGGGTGTCATTCTCAGTATCTCCTCCTATTCTGTATGTATGGACTCTGCACAGTCCCCGACTTCTCCTGTCCCGGATGCCGGGTGTCATTCTCGGTATCTGTCCTTATTCTGTATGTATGGACTCTGCACAGTCCCACTTCTCCCCGATGCCGGGTGTTATTCTCGGTATCCCATCCGGTGACACAGGTGATAGGCCCTGATGTTCGGGGACAGGTTGTGCGGATGGTGATGACGCAGAAGACGCGGGGGGGGGGGGGGGGGGGGGGGGGGGGGGGGGGGGGGTGACTCAGCGGTGAGGGAGGAATGACTCGGCACTCTGCTGTTTATTTAACTTGCAGTCAGGGACTATAAATATCCGTCTATATTGAGAGCGGCGAGGGGGGGGGGGGGGGGGGGGGGGGGGACGTGGTGCGGCTCAGGAATCTGCGCTCTCACACTGTTTACAGATGGCGGCTCACAATCACCCTCAATGACATTTCACACCCCGCTCAGGGAAAGGTCTCCACAGAACATTGGCGCTGCTTATAAAGGGAGATCACATGACTGAACGAGAACCCTTTGGTGGGAAATCTCGTCTACAGGAGTGTTACTAGCAGGAGGCAAAGACTGTGAGGACTGCAGTCATGTGATTGGAGGAACCCGGAGCAGCGGAGGATCTACCCCTCGGCCTGCTACAAATACACAGACAAGGTACAGATCCGGAACTCACAACCAACAGATCTCTCACCATAATATTAGGAGACAATAAAAGGTGGGTGACCAGCCCCCGACCTACCTGTGACAGTCCCGGGGATGAAGCATGCCCAGGAGGTGTTGCAGCCAGATTCGGGTGCCCCTTGGTCAGGTCGTGTGCAGAATACGGCGAAGGGGCGGGAGGTCCCGGCTGCCTCGCTACCTGTGCCGCCACTGCAAAGAACAAAAACAATCCGTGGGTGACACCTGTGGTCACATGACCGGCGTGGCCATCACCAGTCCAACCTGTGAACACCGATGACATCCGTGGGTGACACCTGTGGTCACATGACCGGCGTGGCCATCACCAGTCCAACCTGTGAACACCGATGACATCCGTGGGTGACACCTGTGGTCACATGACCGGCGTGGCCATCACCAGTCCAACCTGTGAACACCGATGACATCCGTGGGTGACACCTGTGGTCACATGACCGGCATGGCCATCACCAGTCCGACCTGTGAACACCGATGACATCCGTGGGTGACACCTGTGGTCACATGACCGGCGTGGCCATCACCAGTCCGACCTGTGAACACCGATGACATCCGTGGATGACACCTGTGGTCACATGACCGGCGTGGCCATCACCAGTCCGACCTGTGAACACCGATGACATCCGTGGATGACACCTGTGGTCACATGACCGGCGTGGCCATCACCAGTCCGACCCTGTGAACACCGATGACATCCGTGGGTGACACCTGTGGTCACATGACCGGCGTGGCCATCACCAGTCCGACCTGTGAACACCGATGACATCCGTGGATGACACCGGTGGTCACATGACCGGCGTGGCCATCACCAGTCCGACCTGTGAACACCGATGACATTCGTGGATGACACCTGGGTCACATGACCGGCGTGGCCCATCACCAGTCCGACCTGTGAACACCGATGACATCCGTGGATGACACCTGTGGTCACATGACCGGCGTGGCCATCACCAGTCCGACCTGTGAACACCGATGACATCCAGCGCTGTCGATAAAGCTGGGCAACACAGGTTCACTTAGCACTTCCTACTTACCGGTGACATTTCAGTACAACCGCCAAATAAAAAAAAATCATCATATTCGATTTCCCTCCTTTTTAGACCTGGTAACTCGACCCGGTCCAGGCATGAGCTCATTCGGGATCGATCTGCTGCTCTATCATCACTGTAGAACGCCAGGATCAGCTGCAGGTGTGATAGCGCTGGACTGATCAAGTGTATGCGCCCTCCGAGCTGGCGGTTCTGGCATAGACCTGGTATAGACCCGGTTCTGGCATAGACCTGGTATAGACCCGGTTCTGGCATAGACCTGGTATAGACCCGGTTCTGGCATAGACCTGGTATAGACCCGGTTCTGGCATAGACCTGGCATAGACCCAGTTCTGGCATAGACCTGGCATAGACCCGGTTCTGGCATAGACCTGGCATAGACCCGGTTCTGGCATAGACCTGGTATAGACCCGGTTCTGGCATAGACCTGGTATAGACCCGGTTCTGGCATAGACCTGGTATAGACCCGGTTCTGGCATAGACTGGCATAGACCCGGTATAGACCTGGTATAGACCCGGTTGGCATAGACCTGGTATAGACCCGGTTCTGGCATAGACCCCGGTTCTGGCATAGACCTGGTATAGACCCGGTTCTGGCATAGACCTGGTATAGACCCGGTTCTGGCATAGACCTGGTATAGACCCAGTTCTGGCATAGACCTGGTATAGACCCGGTTCTGGCATAGACCTGGTATAGACCCGGTTCTGGCATAGACCTGATATAGACCCGGTTCTGGCATAGACCTGGTATAGACCCGGTTCTGGCATAGACCTGGTATAGACCCGGTTCTGGCATAGACCCGGTTCTGGTCTAGACCCGGTTCTGGTCTAGACCCGGTTCTGGTCTAGACCTGGTTCTGGTCTAGACCTGGTTAGACCCGGTTCTGGTCTAGACCCTGGTTCTGGTCTAGACCTGGTATAGACCCCTGGCATTCTGGCATAGACCCGGTTCTGGCATAGACCCGGTTCTGGCATAGACCTGGTATAGACCCGGTTCTGGCATAGACCCGGTTCTGGTATAGACTCGGTTCTTGTCTAGACCCGGTTCTGGACTGCCGCCTCTCTGATCCCACCAGACCATCTGCAGTCACAAAGCCCAGTACAAACTGCCGCTCATATAAAAGCTTTGTTAGGCGAGGCGTTTCGGGGGGCGGGACTCCCTTCCTCAGGGCTCAGGCGATGATTGGTGATACAATCAGGAAGATGTGATAAGAGAGCCGGGATCGAAGGTAACAAATGTACATCCGGCTGGTTCTGGTGCCCAGCTTTGATCGCAGCTCTCGGTATCCCCCCTACATCCCCAGACACTGTCTGCGCCCTGAAGAAGGGAGTCCAGTCCCCTGAAACGCGTTGGCTGCGTCTCTTATTTTAACGAATAAAGTTTTAAAGGAAGCTGAAAGCTTGGCTCTAGTTGCTCCGCCCATAACCGCTGGATTGATGTGAGTGGACGCTAAATAAAATGTATACGGGAGGCAGCTGCTAAAACCCGGGAAGACCCGCACAGGACCTGCTGTGGATGCAATGCTAACCCATCTTCATTGGACCGGCCGGGTCCAAAACCTGAACACAGCTCAGCCTCAGCAACAAGAAATATCTGAGATTATTGCGCACTTTACAACGCCGTCTGTGGGAGCCTCAAACGCTGATAGAGAAGGACCTGCTGTATACTGTGTGTGTGAGGTCATCAATGGCGGTATACGGTACTCACCGTGCTGTAGACGGCAGGGAAGATTCGCTCATCCAGGGCTCCCCGGGACAGTCTGCAATGTCGGTGGTTAAGGAAGGTTCAGTGAATTGTGAGGAACGTGAAATACAGCCTGACTACTCAACTGACAACCCGCCGCTCCATGATGGACCAGAGCAGTACAGGGGGACCTGGCGGGGAGGCGCGCTCCATACGGGGGGGACCTGGCGCGTAGGTGCGCTCCACACGGGGGGACCTGGCGCGGAGGCGCGCTCCACACGGGGGGACCTGGGGCGGAGGCGCGCTCCACACGGGGGGACCTGGGGCGGAGGCGCGCTCCACACACGGGGGGACCTGGCGCGGAGGCGCGCTCCACACGGGGGGACCTGGCGCGCGAGGGGGGACCTGGCGCGGAGCGCGCTCCACACGGGGGGACCTGGCGCGGAGGCGCGCTCCACACGGGGGGACCTGGCGCGTAGGTGCGCTCCACACGGGGGGACCTGGCGCGGAGGCGCGCTCCACACGGGGGGGGGACCTGGCGCGGAGGCGCGCTCCACACGGGGGGGACCTGGGGGACGGCGGAGGCGCGCTTCACACGGGGGGTGCGGAGGCGCGCTCCCGGGGGGACCTGGCGCGGAGGCGTGCTCCACACGGGGGGACCTGGCGCGTAGGCGCGCTCCACACGGGGGGGACCTGGCGCGGAGGCGCGCTCCCACACGCCTGGTGCGGAGGCGCGCTCCCACACGGGGGGACCTGGGGGGACCTCCACACGGGGGGGACCTGGCGCGGAGGTGCGCTCCACAGTGGGGGGACCTGGCGGAGAAAGTGAGCTCCATACGGGGGCCTGGCGGGGAGGCGCGCTCCCTACGGGGGCCTGGCGGGGAGGGGCAACGGGCCAAATAACCGCTGCCAGACATTCAAAGGTGCAAATCATATCAGCCCTGCCAATAGACGAGGCTGGAAACCACTGACAAGAGTCACCTATTATAGCAGCAGAAAGGAAAAGCTACATTAGTGCAGGTAGGTGCAAGGCGCCAGCTCCCAGGCCAGGTAGGTGCAAACCATCATCCGGGTGCAGGTAGGTGCAAGGCGCCAGCTCCCAGGCCAGGTCAAACCATCATCCGGGTGCAGGTAGGTGCAAGGCGCCAGCTCCCAGGCCAGGTAGGTGCAAGGCGCCAGCTCCCAGGCCAGGTAGGTGCAAGGCGCCAGCTCCCAGGCCAGGTAGGTGGAAATAGTCGTCTCTCAGCAGAAGACACAAAACAGCACTTCCCTGTGCAGGTAGGTACACACTATAGGCTGCCAGTGTAGGTAGCCGCAAACCGTCAGCTACCAGTACAGAAGGGTGCAAATTAACTCCTGGCAACGGAAGGCGCAAACCGTCATCCCCCAGAAAACTTCACACCCACTTTACATCCTTCCCATACACAGAGGTTTGCAGCTTTCAGCTTGTTAATCATTTTGGGGAGCCACTGGGGGCCCCTCACTACAGGGGAGCCACTTGGGAGCCGCTCATTACTGGGGACCAGATTACAGGAGAGCTGCTCAGGAGCCCCCATTACTGGGGACCCCTTATTATAGGGAAGCCGCTCGGAGCCCCTCATTACTGGAGGGACCCCTTGTTACAGGGGAGCTGCTCAGGATCACTCATTACAGGGGAGCCCCCATTACAGGGGAGCCGCT